GATTCCCTTAAACTTGTCAGCACTTCCGAATAACAATGTTGATTCACCATTTCTCCTTGTGCAATGAATTTATAGTGAACTGTCCTCTTGTAATCGGGGAAACACACAAGCGTGGTCTTGACCTTCGACCGAGACATGGGTGCTTTTTCGGCCGAGCTGCATTCTGTGTTTTCCACTGCATGCTCTGGCGCTTTCTTTCCGGGTCGTATTGAAAACACCACGTTTCATCGCCGGTAAATATCTGTACAGTGTGTAAACGATCAGATGAAATCTGAAGCCAACGTTGTCTCTGGCGATCTGTCAAGATTCGAGGCAACATCTTTGCGAAAATGTTTCTTATTCCCAAATCCTCCGTAGTACTCAGTCGTACTGTTTTTCTATTTATATTCAGTTCTTCTGCTATTAGTCTCATACTTAATCTTCGATCTGAGAGCACCAAGGTTCTTCTCTGTCCACATTTGCAAGTTGTCCTTTACGTTTTTGGCTGCCCACTTCTTGGGTCATCTTGTACATCTTCTTGCCCTTCCTTGAACCGCCTATGCCATTCAGAAACACTTGATTTCTTCATAGCCTATTCACCATAAGCCGCTGTTAATATGGCTAACGTTTCACTGCCACTTTTACCAATCTTCACACAAAACTTCATCTTTATCTCCTGCTTCAGATTCTTGTCGCTCATTTTTCCGCCAATTGTATACCACGGACACGGACTTCCTCCACTGCTTGGGAACGAACGAGTCGTTCAGTCTGTGGTTCATGTAGACATAGGTTGGAACATGTCCAGACGTGCTTGAGTACGTGAGTTTGCTTAACTCAACATCCCAGCGACACGCAGCGGCCATTCCGGGAATTAAATTGTCGCACCTTATACAGCGCCCCTGCTCGTCAGCCTGCATTTGTGTCCAGCGCGATATACCCTACATAGTTACGACCCTCCAGAGAGTCTCCATGTTACACTGCGCGTGGGGGGGGGTCCGAAACAAGGCAAATCGGTGCTGCATAAATTCCTGTGGTTCGGTTTAAACTTATTAAGATATGCTTTCTCAACTGCATGTGAGGGTGAACTCACTAACTTCAAGTCTCTGTTCAAGTGTTGATACTTACTCAGCTGGTTAAGAAATTCCATGCTTACATGGAGGAACTCATGCGATGTCGCGCAATCCGATAGAAGCTTTCCGACATTTCGGATGTGCTTATTGTCTCCGTCTTTAGGGATGAAGAATACTTTAAGCAAGAAACGAGCAGGAAGCAAGTAACAGTTGCTCCTAAACGTCGGTGAATTTCTAGCGAACTGCGGGATGTCACAACCCAGAAGATTATGCGCTTCATGGTCACCGCTTAGAGAACCTCAAATCCAACATTTTATGAGCTTTTCACCTTTCAAAATTCCGGAATCCTATATCCATAAGATATGGTGTTATACTTAAAGTAGCCCCGTGGGTGGGTGCTATTGGCTCGGGCTGGGTTCTTTCTCTCCCGCCGTACTCTTAGTTCTGATTAACCATCTACCTCGAAAATGATCTATATATCCAATTAGACTCTAAAGATGGATTCAGCATGTTCCTTCGAAAAGTTGGTGTCCATCTACAAGATTAAACGGTGTTATAACACAGAAGACCACAGTCTGAACAATCACTATAATCCGTGCCGGATTTAATTATCCCTGTATCTGCGTTCAGGACTTTCCACCTCAAACTTGCAATAACGTAGTCCGTCTCGAAACAGTATTGGCCAACAGTCACGTGTTGTACTGTCGCTTTACAAGCTATATGTTTTATATATGAGCACTATTCCGCTAGACAGACCGGTATATATTCTGAAAGCTAGAGGCTTATGTCTGCACTGTTCGACGTCTGGAGCTGAAACGAAAATCTGACAGGAATGCTGTATTCTCCCGTCCAAACTGGGGCTTGCTACGTCACACACAGACGGGGCTAGGGATTATGAAATCGGGGCTCCACCACACACGTTCTCACAGCCACTATGTTTAGTGTCGGTAACAGGGAGTTAAGTACGTAGAAGATGTGGCAGTCTCCAATAACATTAATCCATGTTGGGTTTCATGAAGATAGATGAATTAATGTCTATAAAATTGATGTAGGATTTGAGGCGCTCTCAGCGGTGGTTATGAAGGGTTCTGTCTTATGGGATATAACGCTGTGTTGTCCGTGGAAAGGCAGCCGACGTTTCGGAGGAAAATATCATCTCCAACTTCCGGGTTGAAGAATAAACCAAGCGAGAAACCACCATGAAATAGGCAGCAAGCAAAGCTTTATATATATATATATTTCACAAAATATAACTTAATGAAAATGGATGTTCCTAATTGAACCAGCGGACGGACAGATAGGTTGTAAATAGGACTCAGAAAGAGTAATTGTCTCTATTGTATACTGTATACTATTGCAATCTGTGGTACACAGTTTCCGGTTCCGTAGTTGTAGTGATACACCGTGTTCTCCTACCCTGTGTATTTCAGTTAACTACATGTCTTTCGCAAGCTTTCTGTGGAGAAACCGTCATGTAATTTCTTATTTTGAGGCACGTCCCAGGCATAAAAGGTCCCACAAACACAGTTACTGACTTTTTGATCATTATCCATCACCCTGTTTTTATTTTAAACAACATTTTAGAGGCAGAACTCTGCCTCCGTCCTCAGGTAGAAAGCCTTCTCAGTTTGGCCCAATCACTACAGCTAGCCCCTGTTTCCGGACACGAGAACCAACACAGGGCAAGATATATAAACCAGACACACCATAAACCACCTGCGGGAGTTAAGGCAAAATTTAGGCCGCGCCATAGCTCAAGCGGTTAGTCGCTGGCTTCCCACCGCGACTGCCCGAGTTCGATCCCGGGGTCTTGTCAAGTGGGATTTGTGGTAGACAAAATGGCGCTGGGGCGGGTTTTCTCCGAGTACTTCGGTTTCCCCTGCCAATCTTCATCCCACCAAATTCTCCATCATCATAATCACCCGGGGCAGATGCAATATGCCAATCAGTGGCCGCCATGCCGAATGGACCCACCTGGACTCCACCCCACCCCCACTAGCGAATTAAAAAAAGAGGCATAATTTTAAAACGCCACGCGAGACCTTACACCTATGGACATGCATGAAGTAATGGCCAAAGTCGATAAAGTCAGAGACCGACTCAGATAGAAGCTAAAACTATAGATAATATAAAATGAGTAATGGCATATATTCTGTTGACCTTTAGCATCAGAGATAAGACAGAGACGGGTATACATACAGACCCAACAAAGAGAGAGGATTAAAATTCAAGTAGACGAAATTTCATAAACGCCAAGGGGGACGTAACAGAAAATAAACTAATATCGAGAAGTGTTACATAAATGAGTAAATTATGTAGTACCAACATAAAATCGGAACAAACAGGGCGATGTATAACGTCAAGAGCCAGCAATTATGATAAAATATCATCGTTACGAGCTTCTACGAGTACATCCTGTTTATCCTCCTATAATACCCTTGATGTTATTGTAATCGAACATTAGTTATGCTGATCGATATCTCGTGGTATGTCGATGTATCACATTCCCAACACGGAACTCTCATTTTAATGAAACAGGACTACCATGGTTCATTCAAATGCAATACACGTATTGTAGAGATTTGCTTTTTGCGAGTTTGCGTCCTCGTTGGCCTAGAGCGTTTATTTTAGGTACAGAACTTTTGTTCCAAAAATATTCCCACCTCATTGAATCAGATATTATTTTGCGTTGTGTTGCGTTCATCATAAGGCCCTATAGAAGAATGTGTTATGTAAAATTTGTTGATCATAAATATACTCGTATATTTATATGGGTTTTTTGTTTCGTCTGACCTGTATTTTTAAGAAAATAAAAAGCTGATGAAGTCTATTTCAGTATTCATGTAAAAATTAATATTATAATTGATCAGTACGCGCCAAAATCTATTTCGGCAAATAGGTATTCATTCTGTGCGCTTTTGACAGTGATTGCATAAGTCTTGTAGGCCTGGTATTGGATACATTAAATGTAGGCTAGTTAGGGACAAGTTTCCAAGAAAATTTACGTATTTGTTACTCATTTTCCATGCATTTCAACTGTTTACATATTTTCCATATGACTGTTATACAAATCCACTTAACGCTGAGGTAAGAGCAGGGAAAATATTTGTTAGTGAAAGGAAAATAATTATCAGGGAAGGAGATCACATTAGCTGTAAATTGCGTTCCTTACATAACTGGGAACGTCGTGAATTATGTTTATCTATTGAAATAAGGACATCATTGTGTACTGGACATAGCTAGAGAGGAGATACACATGTTATTCAAGTGAATAAGAATGTACGTTGAAGGACTTAAATGACTCGGGATTTAGTTTCTATGGTTGACTTTATGTGGATTGTATTGACTTCTCGTGTTCTTGTACCAGAGAGTTATTTTCGAGTTACTCTTGTCAGCATTCAGTTCAGAATCGTCTCTGTTCCCTTGTCGTATGCAAAAAGACTGAAATGGGCATAACGATAATTTTACCTGTTGTTTTGTATGTGCCCCAAACTTGAGCTCTTGCTCTAAGGACAATACATATATAGATTTGGTTGTTTGAGAACATTGTGATGAGTAGAATAGGATCAGTTTGGAACTAAGAGAAAGGACGCAACAGCAGGCAGTAGTAAATATATTTAATGGCTTAAGAATTTGTACTCTTCGCCATGGATTACTAAGATGATGAAATCTGGGGCGACGAAATTGGAAAACAGAAAATATTTGTTGGAGAATCTGAGCTATAACGGTGACGAATATACGGGGGCCTATGAAAGTGAATTACTTCTATGTCTAAGCGACTCCTAACTTCTAGAAAGGTATCTACTCCTTGGAATTCTTTAGTTATGTACTTACGTTTAAGTTTGAATTCAGCCTACAGTCAAATAATAAAGAAATGATATATCGTTACACAGCCCTCGTACTTGTAAGTGAAATTAATTTATTGATCTTAGGTGTTCTGTCTGTCCTCAGGTATCGAGACAAAATTTGCTGGATCTAGTTGTAACGATCTGGTAACAACAGACAGCTCGGGTACAACCATCATCAGCGGTCACTTCGACAAGAGGATTCGCTTTTGGGACACCCGTTCGGATACTACCTCCCGGGACATCCTGCTGCAGGGCAAGGTCACGTCGCTTGACCTATCGCGGGGTGAGTTGCCGCATCACTGGTCTGTCGATATCCGGCACCACAAGCCATCGATATGGCTCCCCCCACCCCTCATTAGCCTTCTCGTAAATTGGATGCCGGAAACCGGCGTCGGTTCCACGGGATGTCGTTATGCACAGGCTTTGTCGTGGTCCAACCCAAGATGTCTGCTTTCCTCTTCTGTGACCCTTTATGCTTCTCTGAAACCGAATACTACCATGAAATTCTGGGTTGTTGATTGAGTTTAATGTTTTCTGTCGTTGAATGTGTATGGTGTCTTTTCGTCTAATAGAAGACAAGCCCTTCTTGAGAAGCCGCCAGTTGTGCAGCTAGTCAAGGACTTCCCAGCATTTTATGTAACCCGAAGGTTCATTACCGTGTTCAAAAGAGCCATCCACTGATGCCTATCCTGAGCCATATCAATCCAATCCATACCATACCATCTCGCTGAGATCCACTTTAATAATATTCACCCACCTACTTCTTGGTCTTCCCAGTGGTCTGCTTCCGGCGTTCCCACCAATATCCTATATGCATTCATCTTCTCCCCCATTCGTGCTACATGCCCTGCCCACCTCATCCTCATTGACTTGATCATTCTAATTATACTTGGAGAATAGTACTAGTTATAAAGCTCCTCATTGTGCAGTTTCATCCACCTTCCTGTCACTTCATCTCTCTTCGGTTCAAATATTCTCCTCAACACCCTCAGTCTATGTTCCTCCCTTAATGTCAGAGACTAAGTTTCACGCCCATACAGAACCACAGGCAAAATTATAATTCTGTATATTCTAATTTGTATGTTTTTAGACAGGAGACGAGAAGACAAAAGTTTCTGGACTGAATGGTAGCAAGCATTACCCGAATTCAATCTCCTCTTAATTTCCTCCTGAATCAGATTTTGATTTGTTACAATCGTTCAATAACGAAGGTAGGCAAATGATAAGTGAGTAATGTCATGTTCGCAGGTGTTCTTTACAAAGTGAAAGGAAACGCCGTGTGTGGAGGCTGTGTCTGTCCATATGCCTGTCTGTCTGTGACCTCTTATCTGCGCATAAACCGCTGGACAGATAAAGGCTATGTCACAAATGGACTTATCCTTGTGTCCCATAAGCTATTTCACAGATATTGTTAAAGTTGTAAGATCTGAGATTTTCACAGCGGTGACTATGAAGAATGCCGTTTTCTGGGATGCGGCGCCGTGTAGATTTTATTTGAGCCGACATTTCGGAAGAACGTATGGCCTCCATCATCAGGGTAGAAAAATCCGCTTGTGAGGAATCATCATGAGCATGTGGTTGCAGACTGAGCCACCATTCGAAAACACTGTTTCCTCCGAAACGTCGGCTCACACATGATCTACACGGTACCACATCCTGTATGACGGCATTCTTCATTGTTAAATTTGTACCATGTACGTGTATATGGAAAGACTTGCATTAAAGATTGTTAGGTACTTCGATCCACCAGTGCGATTTTCCACGTATCCCATGAACCGTTTCACAGATTCTGTTGAAATTCAATACAGAAGGTGTCCACTAACATTTTTATGAATTCAAATTTTCAGCCATGTTGAGCCATAATAAACGCTGGGGTGCGTATGCCATAAACGTAATTTTCCATGTAGCTTATAAACCGTTTCACATAATTTGTTTAAATTTGTTTCGGAAGGCTTCCCTCAAACGTTTTCTGAAATTCGATTTTTAGCCATATTGATGGATAAGGGAGCCTGTAGTTTAGTGGGGGTTGGAGTCCTACTGGGGCTACTCGGCACGGCGGCTACTGATTGGCCTATTGTAGCCTTCCCCGGGTGATTATGATGAATGAATGTGGAATGAAGATTGGCAGGGGAACTCGAAGTACTTGGAGAAAACCTGCCCTAGCGCCACTTTGTCCACCACAAATCCCACTTGACCAGATCCGGGATCGAACCCGGGCCGCCGCGGTGGGAAGCCAGCGACTAACCGCTTGAGCTATGGCGCGGCCAAGCCTGTAGTTGGTCGAAAATTCCTTGACGATGCATTATCATCTTATAGTGACGTAGATTGATCGTCAAATGAGGAAACAGTTTTAGCATTCAGTGGGAAATACAATGCCTGTACCGGCGATCGTGTTGAGCACAGGACTTCTCTTCTGTAAGGTTGCTTACGTAAGGTATGACGTACCCTCAAAGATATTGTAAACGGAATATAATTTGGTGTGAATGAGACAATAAATGCCATTATGCATGTTTCAATCCGTAAACAGTTTCACAGATTTTATTGAAATTCGAAAAGGGAGACTTTCATATACATGCAGTTCATTATTCCCATTTTAAGCACGCACAATAATCCTCAGAGAAAGACGCTTGTAATTTCATGTACTGTATCATGGATATCATCAATTCCCTTTTTTTTTCTACTAGGAGGCTAACATGCTGTAATGCGCACTTGCGCTGAAAATCTGGTCATACTTTTTACTCAAGTATTCTATGTGCCAGAATTACTGGGGCTGACGACGACAATACTAATCATTCAGTTCAATTTATTTCTTTAGTATTTATATGCCGAGTCAACAGCTACAATGCTAATTCAATTCAATTCGTGAATTATATCGGTTAAAGGAAAGAGCTCTTTGTTGAAAATGTCAGTGTATCTGCAGATAACGTAAGTGGGTGGACAGTATTAAGATGGATCTTAGATAGGATGGGATGGTATGAATTGGATTGATCTAGCTCAGGATAGGAACCAATGGAGGGCTCTTGTGAACACGGTAATGAACTTTCGGTTTCCATAAAATGCTGGGAAGTTCTTGAGTAGCTGCACAATTGGCAGCTTCTCAAGAAGGGCTCAGCTCGTGAATGAGTGAGTGAGTATCTGCAGAAAGCATTTGCCGCAGAGATATAGTGTATGGCTGAGATACTAACAGTCGCGCCATGACCCCAACATCAGAAGTTTAACAGTCTTTCTGAGAGCTTGTTTCTAACTTGTAACATAATTTGTAGTTAAAACTTATATTGTTAGTTTTACGAGTACAGGAAATAACCGCAGTTTTACCATTATTTGCCTAGTTTCCTACCGTTATCCAAATACTAATTCTGAGTAGTATCTCCATCACGTAGCTACAACATCCCGTGATCCTAAGATACATCTTAAGAACATCCGCAAACAAGTTGAAATTATGCATGAATCCACATGTTGTATGACGTCAGTAACAACACCACCAACGGCGACGCCTTAAAGTCACCTGCAATCCATCCGATACCCATGCTCTTTTGCGCCTGATTGATTTTCGAATGAGCATGGATTTTGTTAGTGGACAGTTTGTCTATGCTGTCCTTTGATGTCTGATAGTATCAAAAGCCATATAGTCTGTTTCCTCGCCCTAGGGTCCGACACTGTGCCCGAAATATGAATTATCTCGGCTTGATTCCGACATAGAACAGTCCCGGTTATAATTAATAACTGTTGTAAGAAGAATTCATTTGTTTGTGTACAGGGGATTTAGTAGTAAAACTCCATATATTCTTATTTTGGTTTTATGTAGAATTGAGTATAGGTAAATTTGACCCTGTGCTTAACTAATGAAGCACTATACCATGAAGACGTGCGAGTATGGGGGAGTGGATGGATAGATCCACGTTTTCTTCACCTCGGCAGTAATTGGAAGTGAGTGGTCGCTTTACTCCTGGTCAGAATCCCCGATACCCATTGGAANCATAGAACAGTCCCGGTTATAATTAATAACTGTTGTAAGAAGAATTAATTTGTTTGTGTACAGGGGATTTAGTAGTAAAACTCCATATACTCGTATTTTGGTTTTATGTAGAATTGAGTATAGGTAAATTTGACCCTGTGCTTAACTAATGAAGCACTATACCATGAAGACGTGCGAGTATGGGGGAGTGGATGGATAGATCCACGTTTTCTTCACCTCGGCAGTAATTGGAAGTGAGTGGTCGCTTTACTCCTGGTCAGAATCCCCGATACCCATTGGAAAGGAGGTTGGGTGGGTCCCAGTACCCGCCTGGACGACGTGGAGAAGAGAAAATTCTTGACCCTACCGAGACTCAAACTTGACCATATGGAAGCTAGTAGTCAACTTCAGTCTTCTGAAATTTTTATAGTCAGGGAAAAGACCATTGCTGTTGATTGTAGCAGCTGGGATGAGCCCTGGGATCGGTGATGACATGAAGTGTGAGTCTCCAGGGAAACATTTCAACGCTCCTTGGCGGGAAATAAATCCGGGCTGTTACAGCTAATACTGGGCTTTGTAATAATGATGATAATAATAATTACACTAACACAAATCACAGCTATTAAGAAGTGAGAAAAGTGAGATATACGCAACAAGAATTAGGGGTCACGTGAACTCTGCGTTTCCGCCGTCCCTGTTAGACTGACTTCCCTGAAGACCGCGTCTCTTGCGTTGTGTCCTCTCTGCACAGCGGGTCGTATTCGGCCTGCAGATGTCTCTCCTGTGTCATGCCACTGTTGCGCGACGGGACACCTTCCGGTCGGTTTTCTTCTGCTCTGCTACTTCCGCACGGCAGTTCGTCCCTCTGTGGGCGACGGCCAGTCGTTTCCGGCACCTATCTTTCCCCTGGGTCCGTTCCTTCGGCGTTCCTCGTCTCTCTATAGCTGAATTTCGGTTCCTACACCGTTTCTTCTTCGGTTCTCCGACGTCACGATACATTTAAAATTAATACAGTTAGTACTATTTCCGTAATCAGAAGAACTATGGCTAGTCCCTGGAATTAGTCCAGATAATGAAATGTAAGAATTTAATCATGTACCCATCCATATTGGTTTTAAGAAGGACATTGCATTACATATAGACAGCTGTTAAGAAGTTTTCTGTCTTTATGGATATAACATCGCATAGTCCGTTGAAAGTCAACCGACATTTCGAAGGAACTTGTCTCCATTTTCAGGGTCGAAGAATAAGCCAAGCAGGATCCAGCGTGAATGAGGCAGCCAGCTGTTGTTTCTTGGACTAACCATTTCATGCAGTCATTTGGTTGTTGTTTCAGTGCAGTTCTGCAGGTATTTTATTCCCTTACCTGAGCTAATTCAGATCTTCAAACTTTAATTGTTTGCAGATGCCAACTTCCTACTAGGCTGTGTTAGAGACGATACGATTAAGGTTCTTGATCTTCGGATGAACCAGATCATTTGCTCCTTTAGGTAAGTACAGTAAAGGTTTGAGGTTTTCACGGCGGTGACTGTGAAGAGAGCCGTCTTCTGGGATGTGGCGCCGTGTAGATATTGTGTTAACCGACGTTCCTCCTTAACGTCGGTTAACACAATACCTACACGACGCCACATCCCAGAAGACTGCTTTCTTCAAGTACAATATGCATTTATATGCAGTATCTTTCTTGATGAACCGAATCACATGCCTCCCTTACGGTTGGCCTGTTAGCTGGAACCTTAGTTGTCATGTGCCGAGAAAACGGAGTGTAGATTCACCGCTAATTTTCGTACGTTATAAACACAGATTGCATTTCGTAAAGTAAAAAGGAAAATTTGTTTAGAAGAATTTACCATACCAGTAGATGCTCAAATTATTTCCCTTTCCTTAAACAAACTTTTAGTCTCCTGAAAGGACTCTTTGACACTAATCCATGCTCACTCATCTCAGTATAGTGTGCGTAATTGTTTCACGAATGTTGTGTCTGAATTCGTCCATTCTATTGAAGTTATTAAAATATATTTTGCTTTTTTTTTTTTTAAGTTTCCCCACAGACAAGAATCACAGGGATTTAAGCCTGGAGACGTTGTAGGCCACGATCTGCAACATATCAGTGTGTTTTCCAATTCCTTGGTTAAAATTTTAACAGAATAATTATCATTGAATGCTGTTTGCGTGAAATGACCACACAGTCTGTTAAAAAATGTGGGTAGCACTATTCTTGTAGCAGTAATTGCGTAACACACAGATCTTCTGATTGTGGATGGCTACTTAAGTAGTTTGTCTCAGATTAATACTGCACCAATACTTATTGTTCTGAACATTGGTGTACCCACTCAGACGGAATGAAGCTTCATCAGCATAAAACGCAACTTTGCGCAAAATTAATTGGTTTTCAGACTTTGTCCATTGTTAGGTATTATAAAAACTAGGAAATACAACGTTTCGGAAATTGGATCTGTTTCCGTCCTCAGGTGAGGGGGGGGAGACACCTACTCTGTTGGGACTGTTAGAAAAAGCTAACCCCAGTTACTGATACATATACATACAGCAAACATTGTGCTTTAAAGGGTTAGTGGTTCTGTCTTCTAATGTAACTTAATATACCGTATTTACGCATGTATAGGCCGCACATTTTTTGCCAAAAATTCAAGAGGAAAACTGGGGTGCGGCTTATATTCGAAATATTCGAAATCACACTTCATTTAAAAAAAATATATATTCATAATTAGTAATACAGGGTGTTCTACCTGAAATAATATTCCAAGAAAATTATTTTTTCTATAATTTCTGTCTGAAAATTGTGCTGCGGCCTATACACGCACGCGGCCTATACATGCGTAAATAGGTAACTTTCTTTTTGCTCTATTTCCTACCATGAAGGTAATAGACAGCACCCAAAGGTACGAAATGTACTCTTACATACTTGCCAATATGTATCCTGCAGTGGCCACAGCTCTTAAAATGATGTGCAAGTATTGCAATGGAGTTTTGGATATAGTTTGAATTGTCATTCCCAAGCTTCCCCTTTTTAATTGCTTGGGTGAACTTAATTTGAATGTTATCCCTTCTTTAAAGTTTTAGCTTCTGTCTATTGTGATACTGACCGTGAAAGAAGCTCTATTTGAAGCTCCTTTTCAATAAAACATCTCTTGTGGTATATATTTGCTTACAGTGCCGAGGGTTTCAAAGTAGGCTGTGACTGGTCACGTGCAGCCTTTAGCCCTGATGGCCAGTACATCTCTGTAGGTTCAGCAGATGGTTCCGTGTATATATGGAATGTAAGCACTAACAAACTGGAGTCCGTGTTGAAGGAACACTTGTAAGTACCTGTCTAATGCCTGTATATCTCTAGGCTTCCCTGATTCTTATAGCAAATATATTATATGCTTATGCTCCATTTGGATGTTATGATGTCACAACAAGAGACGAAGTCACATCCTTACTAATTGGACCCATTCACATTACAACTGTTAGAGGTTTTCTTTGTGGAAATTTGTGTCTTTGAATAAAACCCTCTCACTGAAAATATTTTGAAGCGACAACCTGTTGGAGGAGTGGGTGCTGTTTCCCAAGTAATGTATGCTGTGTTTGAAAATTATTTTTCCGACTCGATTTATCTGTTGTAGAAAAATTATGAAGTTTATTCTGAAAGGTGATCTCAAGTTCCATTTCATAATTAATGTCAAGAAGCAGAGTCCTTGTTGATAAGCTGATAGTCATTCAGTTACACAAGAAATTTCTCATCTTTTATGAAATCTGAAGGTCCATTACTGATCACATGATCCTGCTATCAGTCTCTATCCCTAGCCATATGAACCCACTCCACATAATGCACTCTATTTTTAAGTTCAGTTTTAATATTATCCTCCCTCTGTTCCTATTTCTTCCATTCATGTTATATGACACAATTTTGTGTGCATCTGTGCCATGCATGCTACATGCTCTGTTCGTGTCATCCTCCTTCACTTGCACACTCTATTAGCATTTGATAAAGAATATAAATTTTGAAGCTCCCCATTATGCAATTTTCTCCAGTCACTTGTTACATTCTTCCTTTTAGTTACAATATCTCGTCTCAAATACCCTCAGTGCATGTTATTCTCTTAATTTAGAGGACCGAGTTTCACACCAATACACAACAGCAGGAAAAAATTATAGTTTTTTATGTTAATTTAATCTGTACATTTTTAGTTAGGAGATGCGAAGACAAAAGATCCTATACTAAACTGTATCAGGTATTCTCAATGTTTAATCTGCTCTTAATTTCCTTTGTGAATCTAATTCGAATTTTTTACTCTCACTTCCAAAATTTTGAACTTTGCCATTTATCAAATGATATATTATCTGTCCTTATGTAATGACTTTGTCCTTCATTCTGATTGTGAGGCCGAAACATGCAGGTACTTAGTGTTCTGAGGGTATGCATCCTTTTCAGTGCTTCTATGTTTATCTTTATGGTATTTAACTTTTTGTCCAGTAAATTGAAATTATTATCAGAGACCAGAAGCTGTCATATTCCATTCATTCCCATGCTTTCCTTGTTTTCATTTTGTTGCATACTAAAATAATTTGCCCCAAATCATGCAGTTGTACCTGTTTCAAGTCCATTGACATGGAACGTCGCCTCGTCCGAGAAGCACACTTGGCGGAGGAAATCGGGTGACGCGTCAATTCTTTTTGGCACGTCCACAGCGAAGTTTGTGCGTGCTACTTTGTCATTCAGTTTTAGTGCATGAATCATTTGAATCTTATACGCTCTTAGGCGGAACCTTTTTGTGTAGGTCATCATGCACTCTTGAACTTGGAATTTATACGTAACTGCAAGCTAGCAGCACGAATTGATTTGCGCGGACATCGCTGGAATGTTTTTCTAATGCAACTGACATTTTCTTCAGAGGTCCATGACTTTCCAGGAGTTTTTACACGTAACAGACTACTTGTGGTCCTCAGTTTGTTGTCTCGGAACAGAATGCTTTTCTGCATAAGAGGGTGACGTCCATAATACGTTCTAAAACGACTCTGGACAGCCATAAGAGATTGCGATACTGTTAGCCACAACACGCATTGAACCTGTTCTTGTGATATCGACATCATTACCGAGCTCGCCGTAGGTCCCCAGCTGGCGCATGCGCGTAAGCCGGACATAAAATAATTCAGATTTTTCCTTTCCGATTATATAAACCGGATACATGCATGACAATTAATTTCCGAGATATGCTTTTTTTTTCTATTTTCCATACCTTTCATCCTGACATCTTGTATACCATAATATAAATCTTTGTAGTGCAGCGTTATCCATTTCTTTCCATCTCTGGTCTGGACAGTCATAATCCATATAGAGGACAAAAGCGATCACTGTGTGGCGCCACTTCTGTAAGTTAAAGAGCACTGGTTGATGGGAATATGTATCCATAAAGTTGCCATACTAAATAAACAATATAATTTTATTGGTACAGATTTTCTTTAAAAGTACCTAGAAGGATAAGCTGTTTCATTAATGTATGGGTGTGAATTGGCATGTGCACGCTTGTATTTGTATGTGAGTAATATTAGTGGCAATGGTAATTTTATTACTCATATATCTCTTTCATGGTATTCGTGAAAACAGAAAATAAGACTTATGTAATTCTGTATTTTTATAATTCTGGTAGTGCTCTAAAAATGTGCCCAGAAATGTGTCTCCATATCACTTCCCTTATATTGCCGCCACTGCCTGAGCCAGTGAGTACAAAGGAAAGCGTGTTCCACTTATTTCCAGATTGTGTACTTAGCGATTATGCATTTTTCATTGGTCGTATAAGTACTGCGGATTGCTTCAGTTGTGGGACTGGGTAAGACTGAGTCCCTTTATGCTGCAATTTCCATAGGGCTTACTGTACCAGATCTTGATGGTAGATATAGATAAGTATGCATCATTTGTGGAATGCTAATTGGCAGGAGAAAATCCAAGTTCTCAAACAAATGCATGCCCCGATGCCAATTTACAAAATTCGCACACATGTACTGCGCCTGGACGGAATCTGAGCTTATCTGGTCAGAAGCTGGCGACTAACCACCTGAGAAATGGAATGCTCTACCATGGCCATGTGTCTCTTGTTAATGGTTATGGGTAGAAAGGGTTACTACGCTGTATGAAGCCGTAAATTCCGTTGTCAGTGACAACCAGCAGTTGGTGTATATCTGTTCCATTGGATAGATAAATTATCACAGCGAAACCTCACAAATTCGGACTTGCAATAATTCCGACAACTGTTTTTCTTTTGCGCATTATGGCCTCGATATCACATTGCCACGATCATCGATCGCAAGCTGCCGTGTGTAGCGCTAGCTTAGGTGACGGTAGATACATGTAGGCCTAACGTCAAACATCGGGGCCATTTTGAAAGAGATTTAAAGTCAGAGTATTCCAGATCCAGAAAATCAGCCGCGAAAGGGTAAATGCATAGAGAGTTAACCTAAAACTTTCCGCGTTAATGTTTTAGTAGGCCTACTTTTTATTTCTGTTTTAGTATTTTAGTAGTGTATTTTCAGTAGCACTTCTTTAATTCGGGCAAGGGTTCGCTGCCAGTTAGCCCGAATGAGTGAGGTCTTACTCGAGAGAAATTGAGCCGGAGGCAGAGGAGTAGTCACTTTAGGAGCCGTTACCAGGAAACGTGTAGTAACAGGCTGAGAAAACTAGACTGTATGCTCTAGTGAACTGTAAAAATAGCGATAGTGTTATAGTTATTTGTATTTACCACCTATAAGTGGTCAGTAAATCTATTCACCAATCCAAACCCCGTCTATAGTCACACGTAATACGTTATAACTGATGTCAGAAGTGGTTGGATTGGAGAACACAGTCAGAAGCGATATCACCACACTATGGAAGTCGAATAAATGATGGCATATCTGCCGGCTGAATTAAAAACCAACCAAGGAAGGATGGACACCAACCAAGCAGAAACGGACACCTATGTAAAGGAAATAAAAGAAGACAAATACGAAAGAAGCCAAGGCGGACGCCAGTCTAAAGGAAATGAGACAAAATGAGAGCCGGCCAAGAACTCCAGAAAGAAGAAATGCTGGCCGAATTAGTTGCCCATCATCCCTAAGGAAGAGGCCATAGTGGAAACTTTTGGTGCACTGAAGAATCGGCATGGGGACCGGCATCTATCCGCAGGGCACCGCGGAAAGCCGAAGAAACGGACCCACGGCGATGGTGGATCCCAGAAGAAGTTGGCGGCCGCCTGATGACCTGCCGTACCATTCCTGCACGGCATAAGGGATACGGCAAGGACAGTGCTGTAACAGGAACCCTTTAAGGGCGGGGGTTCAGGAAGAGACGTTGGGCGAAACAGAAAGGCATCAAGGGAATAAGAGAGCGAGACTTACAGGCGCAGCTAAGTCTTGGAAGCGAGAGGACATCCGGCAGGATCTTCAGGAAACTTCTCGTACTGGATATCTTTGGATATCTTGAAGCAAAGACTCAAACCTTCAGTCAGGTATCGGAAAATGAATCTCAGGACTTTGTGGAGGAATCGGCCCTCTCCGAAACGAAAGAAGAGACTGAACACAGAGTATAAGCCTGAGATGCAGGACCACCGGCAACTCTAGATAGTTTTGCCCCCACCGATCGGAAAAGCAGGATGATGGTGATGAACCTGGGCCGACTGGCACCCTATGAGGGACGGCTCGGGAGAGCCTTAAGGAAGGAGTAGCGGGAGAATTTGGTGAGTAATCACTGTGAGAACCGAGCCATGGGGAAGGAAGCCGAGACCGATCACAGACGTCACAAGCACAGCCCTCAGAAATGATAAATGGAGCCTTATGGAGGGAGCAACGTGGCGTATGGACCCATTGCTAAGCGGTGACTCTTTAAACACCTACCGCTGCTTAACGTTCCCCTTGCTAGGTAGCAGATTCTTAATAATGCAATAATTGGAATTCAACAGTGGATGAGCTGTGTTTTCTGCGTGGTCCGTGTCGAGAGATTATAAGCGAGGCATGATTTGGAGCTTAGTTCAATTGAGAGTGAGTTCTATACCAATCCAAACCCTTTCTATAGTCAGACACATACTAAATTACAGTATTAATATAACCTATTTCGGTTTTCTTAAATATATTTCCTTTAAAATTCTAGTATGTGAGAAGATTCAGAATTACCGTTCGTTATCATATGGACATGCATAAATGTTTGATCTTGACGCTGATCAATTCTAGACCCTCATTTATTTGAAAAAGTCAACGAAAAAACAGGTAAAAACTCGTTATAATTGCCTGTGAATGGGGAACATTCAAGGGCCATTATGACTTGCCCCGTTCAAACTTACCTACGGG